GGATCCCTGGGGGCCACATCTCCTCCAGGGGCACGGGGTGCTGGCACGGCTCGTCACGCCAGTGGAACCTGCAGGGATTGAAGCGACTCCTTTGCCCCCCTGTTAACCCAAGACGCCGTCGCCGCTCTCGCAGCAGCGGGGGATGGCGGTGGTGGAAGGGGCTACGGGCTGGGAGAGCCGGGGGCTCCGGGAAGGAGGAGGGGGAGCGGCAGGGGGGGAAGTGGGGACGGACGGCGGGGCTGCAAAGTTCAAATGGAAAAATCTAGCGCCGCGCGAGCTGAGACGGACGGGCTGCTGTATTTTTTCCTGGAGAGGGAACGCAGAAGGGCTGGTATTGATCTGTCTTCATTACCCATTTCACTCAAGTTTCAAATCAACAAAATACACTTTTCCGCTCCGCTGCCCTCCCCACCGCAGCAGACAAAAGAAAAGCAATTTCCCGCAGTTTGCTCCAAACTCCTCTCCCCTTCCCTCAGCGCCCTTCAGCCCCTCTCCCATTTCAGAGGCTTTTTAACCTCAGCAAGTTGCTCCCGTCGGAGGCTGGGAGACCCCTGGGCTCCAGGGGCTGAGCTGGGGAAGGGACCCCAAACAGGGCACCCTGTGATTCAGTGGTGCCTCCAAGCAAGAAACGCCCCGGCACCAAAACCACGGGGTGCTGCCTTTCCAAACACGCTCCAGCACCTTGTACCATGGGCTTTAACGCATACTGGCAGCATCTCCCCACGCCTGCAGGATCCCAGGGGGGATCCGCTGCTCCCGACCAGCCTTGTGCGGGAGCGGAGCGCCCTGCAGACCATCTGCAGCAGAAGTCCTCCAATGCAACCCTTTGCCAGTATCCGCCAAGTTTCTACGAGTTCTAAAGTTGCAAAGAATTAAAACCATTTTAAAATGTTTCAGGGTGGGGTTTTTTGGCTTTTTTGGTTTTTTTTTTTAGATGCAGCTATAATGCGAGTGTCAGCCGTGAGGCTCTCCATGCACAGCTACACCTCCAGGCGTCTAGGGGGAAAGAGGGTTCATACTCCAAAAAAAAAAAAAAACCCAAACAAAAACCAAGCCTCAGGATCCCTGGGGAGCCCAGCAGCTCCTTGTTTAAGAGCACACCATCACCGACTGTCTTTAATCTTCCCACTGGCTTCGCACCCCAGATGCGTCCCGTCCCTATCAGCAGGGCGGCAGGGAGCTCCCTGCAAACGCGTGGTGTCGGCAAGCGTGGGGGACCCGCAGTGCTGCTGGGTGCTGGGTGTTGGGGGGGGGGGGGGGGGAGCCAGCCGGCGGAGAGCTGAGGGGAGGCCACTGGAACAGCTTCTCCCCAAAACACCCAAGCGATGTGGACGTCCAGTCCCCAGCCCCGGGGGGCTGCGGTGCAGCTGCGTCTCTGCAGGCAAAGCCCATGGGGGTCCGGGCTGGGGCACTGAGGGCACCCTGGGTCCCAAACGTGGTTTGCTTGTGCTCCAGCTGCACGTGCCGGCTCTCCTGCTTGATCTGTGACTGGGACCCAGCCTTCCTCCTCCTCCTCCTCCTCCTCCAGCCGTCCTGGCCAGTCTCATCCACACCACTCTGCCGTTAGATAAACTTCCTTTCAAAGGAGTCTGCTTAATCCTCTATCTCCCCTCGGTCAGATCCCGCTCCAGCTGCTGGCCGGGCTGGCGGGGCCGGAGGGGGGAGGAAGAGGCCGGTCGCTGCTGAGTTATGAGCTATTTCTGACTCACGTCTACAACTTTCACAAGTCCTTTTGCAACACAAAAAGGGAGGAGGGGAGAGGAAGGCAGATCCAGTTCACTCCGGCAAAGCCGCCGGCCAGATGGGCAGGGAGGGGAGGCGAGAAAAAGCAGCAGAGAAGGGGGGAATGGGACGTTAAGCAAGCGGGCGAAGCGTGCGCCTGTGCATCGCAGCCGGGGGAAGCGGCGGAGCGAGCGGCAAGGGATGGGCAGCGGCAGAAGCGCAGGCAGGAGAAGCGTAGGCAGGAGAAGCGCAGGCAGGGACGCGCACCCACGGAGGGGAGCGAGGCACCGGTTACCGGAATCTGACTTCACCCTCGCTGCCTTTGTCCTTCGCAGACATTTTCCACGCAGTGACTGCATTTCCTTCCTGCAAGCACCGCTGGAAAAAGCCGCCTGTTTGTGCCGCAGAAGCCCTGAGTAATTCCCACTGCTCACACCCGGCTGCTGCTTCCCAACCTGGTGGGGCAGCTGGAGGCGGGGGGGGGGGGGGCCGGGGGCCCCCCGCCGCCCACCCCGGTACTGGGAGCACTGGGACGGCGTCGCTGCCAGCTGAGGTTCAGCCGTGCCCTGGCGATTGCCCATCCCAGCCCCATCCCTCGCCACCCACCCGCCACTGCACGGGCTCAGCCTAGCATAGACAGGACCTCCAGCTCTGAGAGTGCTTGTGCTAATTACTTTCCTTTGTTAATTAAGCCCACGTGGCTCTAATAAGGTAACCTGCTGTTCTCCGATAAATTTAATTAGCCTGAAGGGAGAGCCCCTCCGCACAGCTATTTAAATTGTCACTTCCCATCGCTGGGGCTTTGCTGCTTTCTGCCTCCCCCTCTCTCCAGGTTTGCACCCCTCTTCTGCCCCATTCCTTTGGCAGAAGAGGGCAGCAGGGGAGCAATGGGGAGGCCTCCCCCCGCCCCATGGGAGCAGGACGCCACCCAAGGGTGCTACACCTACCCAAAGCCCCGCTATTTCCACCCAAAGCCCCGCTATTTCCACCCAAAGCCCCGCTTTTTCTGCCAGTGCCACAGAACCCCGCCGCAGATGGGCCTTCATCCCGTCCCAGCGGCTGTCCCGCGCCGGAGGAGCTGTCCTGGCTCCAGCCCCAAAGGACTGTCCCTCATCCAGCCCCCCCATCCTGCTCACAGCACCCAGCACCAACCCTGGGGTGCCCCAATCCTGGCAATCTCTGCACCTCCCTGTCCCAAACGCTGTCCCAAGGTATGGTGGCACCCAGTGACCTTCTCTCCCCGGTCCTTATGCTGCCTGGAGCCAGCCTTTGCCTCCCATTGCCCTTTCCCACCATATCAGCACAGCATCTGGAGGTTTACAAGGGACTTAACGCTTTGTGGGCTCCTGGTGTGCTCTGGTCACGATGGAGGTGACGTGTTTGCGTGGGCGCTCTCCCCACAGCACCAGTTTGCAGCTGAGCCCATCCCAAAAAGGGGGTGATGGGGACACGCACACACGCACACACACACACACACACACGTCCTCGGGGCTCACCTGCACCGCCGGCTGCTTGCCCTCATTGCTGCTGGGGGAGCTCAGCCCCGTGGCCTGCTGCAGCAGGAACTGGCGTGCCACCTGGAGAGCCTGCAAAAGAGACACAGCAGGGTGGGCAGGAGGAAGGCTGCCCTCTTCCTCCTCCGGGCACATTCCCCCTCCAGCTCCACGGAGCAGTGCCCAGACGCGGGGCTGGCCGGACTGGTTCTCGGTGGGGTTTGCTCATTGCTGCTGGGGGAGCTCAGCCCCGTGGCCTGCTGCAGCAGGAACTGGCGTGCCACCTGGAGAGCCTGCAAAAGAGACACAGCAGGGTGGGCAGGAGGAAGGCTGCCCTCTTCCTCCTCCGGGCACATTTCCCCTCCAGCTCCACGGAGCAGTGCCCAGACGCGGGGCTGGCCGGACTGGTTCTCGGTGGGGTTTGATCCATGGGGTGCAAGCAAGGCACAAGGAGGGCAGAGCTCCCCAGTGCTCCCTCCTGCCACACCAGTATGACCAGTACATTCCATTATGGACCACCGCTCTCCCTACACCCCTGGAAGGCCACGGGGACCTGGGGACAATCCTTTCCTCTTCCAAAAACCTCCTCCCCATCTTCAGCAAGTCACCAGGTCCAGCATCTCCGTGCCTCTGGCAGGTTTTCACTGGGTCATCTCCAGCCTCCCCCAGCCCCAGCCCCGGCACAGGCATTCCCGGGCCAGGCACAACCGGGATCCGACTGAAGGTCCGGTGATTTATTCCACCCTTGCATGGAGCCACCACTGCATTTCTGCCACAGCTGACATCCCCTGTGTCTAAATCTACCATGTATATTTAATTTTACATCCAATTGTCACGCTGGAGCACCAAGAAGTCCCAGTCACCACCCAGATTCAGATCAGGCCAGGTGCAGGATTACACTCTGAATTAATAATCCATCAACTCATGGAGCTTATGGTGACACAGGAGGAGTTCAGCAACTCGCACCAAGTGACCAAGATGAAACCTGCTTATTTTTATGGGTGTTTGCCTAGAAGGAGTCAGGGGTTTCCTTAACTTGTTTGCAGGGATGAAGGGGTCTCGCTGGAAAGTCGCAGAAGGGGCAAAAGAGGGAGAAACCACCATAAATCGATAAAAAAACCAGTTGTGGAAGCAAGTGCAGGCACAAGCAACCACGAGCGAGCTGTGCACTGCAGCGCCGGCGGCCGAAGCAATTGAAATTAAGGAGAATCCTGCAAGGAGACAAGGAGGGGAGAGGAGCAAGTGCAAGCCGGCAGAAGAGCCGGCCGGTCACAGGCGAGCACGGCCGGGGTGAGCCCCGGTGTGCGTGCAAGCTGAGAAAAGGAGCTTCATTCAAGAGCTGAGAGCCAGGAGAGGGAATAAAGCCCTAAGGAAAACAACCCTGCGGTACCCGGCTGCTGCTCCCAGACCCGCTTCCTCATACACTCCTTATTTTGGCTTTTAAAGAATTTTTTTTCTTTTTTTTTCAGCGCGCTGCCGGGCGGCCCCGCCAGCGGCACGCGGGTTCCCCCGGTTGTCATCACCCCGGCCGTAAATCACCGCCCCAGCTTCCAGGAGGCGGCCGCACGCCCCGAGAAAGGGCCGCTTGTTAATTCTCCGCATTTCCAGCTATAAAGAAGAAAGCCCCCAGCTTGCGCGCCGCCCCTCCAGCTCTCCCTGCCGAATCTGCTCGCAAACCGGAGTGGCATCACCCACAGTGTGGACGCACCGTAATACACCACTCCAACCCATGCGCTATTTATTTAACCTCTGCAAACCGAGGAGCACCCGCAGCACCCTTGAACACTCGCTCAGCGGAGCATCCGTGAAGACCCTTTACCTGCGTTTTAATCAAAAGGTCCCATTTCACGCTCCTCTCCGCAGGGGTT